ACCAGTTGCTCAATATCTCGTAAAACAACAAAAGCCACATCGAGCTGAGATGCAAAATACGGTAATAAAATTTAGTTTCTTCCCGCTTTATGATTTTCATGTTACATTGACACTACTGACCAATATAAAACCTCTTTATATGGGAATAATTTAGTTTAGTGGAGAAGTCTCATTTTAACTTCAGTCGATAGCTCAAATCACTACGGAAATCAATTTTGGCTTTTTTAAACAATTTACAATGCCGTCTTAATTATGGCGTAAGGATAAAGTCGATCGAAAGAATACTTTCTATTTTGATTGCCCGCCCTTTAAACACGTGGTATCTGATGATCTTGCGATGGACTGTATGGATGAGCATATGTCGCTGTTACACTGGTCGAAAACTGCTAAGAATGTATCGCCCACCGTTCAAAAATTCAATTATGTTACATTAATATGTGATACGGCAGGTGCTTCAGTGCATCTTATACAATTGCAGCATACGGGTTAAAGGTCGACCTCAAACTCTGGCAAGAGTTACTTTAACTGCTAAGTGAGCGGAGAATTCGCATTCCGTGATTTCGTAGCATAAATCCTGACGTGCAAATGACATCGTCGAATTCCCTTGTTATCAGACAAGAATGGGCGAAACAACAACTATACTTCATATCAGCAGGTCTCAGAGATACGATTCGCCATGCCCTAGCTGATATATGGACATTTAATTTGCAAACTGGCGAAGAATACCTATCGTTGTTGTTCAGATATTTTTATGAACTGAGAAAATTTTTAAGCCAAACTTGATTAATTTGTCGGTAAAAGTTCATTACTGCCAATGCTCTTTAAAAGTTTAGCCCTGAAGTTCAATCTCTTTGCCGTCACTTCTCACCACTTCCGTCTGATATGCTTGTTTACTATGCATGATTCGAATGCCGAGAGCCGGCATCTTAAAGAATCTTTTTGATGTTGCTGGTGTAAAAGTCTGTTAGAAACATTTCATTTTTGTGCATCATGATACTTTTCCTTAGAGAATATCTTCTGAGATTAAACACTTTTTGAGCATTTTAGGCATGACTGTTTTTGCAAGTCACGAAACATAATGCAAGTGCAAATGCACAGCTCTACGAAATAATGAAATCATGTCTGCATTTACGGTCTTATGATAAATACAACGGCTTCTGACAATGTGGTCAAAAAATGAGCTCGTTTCACGTTTTAATATTGCTGCGACATACATTTGATTTTCTTTAAGAATTAATTTCTGTTCATGCACCAGGGTTTTCATTTAATTGATGTGATGACATGTAGGACAGAGTTGGTCAAAGTATTTTACTGCTTAGAAAACAAGCGCAATGTCAAAATGCATATGACAGGCTTGCATACTTCAGGCAGTGTCTGGGTACGTCTATGCATTAGCTAGTGATATCCGCCCTACCACGTGCTTACAGAAATGTTATTCGAAGTTATAAATGAGAAGATGACACAGAATGAGGGTCACGACACAGAACTAATCTAGAGAAGCGGCGATGCCGTGGGTCGTTATTTTTCTTTGCAACTCGTTGGCGTGAGTCACAATCAAATCGCGACTTAAAATTTCTTTATTAAATAATAATTGTAAACTTCTTCCTCGCTGATCATGAGGCCGCGTATGGAAAGACTGAGGCGATGTCTCCACAAAACTTAGCAATCTGTCCTCGTGGTACTGCCGTCATCGAACATCATACCG